CGGATGGAGGCCCGAACTGTACGAATGCCGCCGTAGGCTTGCTCAGCGATAGTTATGATGCGGCCATAGGTGGGCGTGGGAATCGGAGGTATCTCCCCATCTGCTGACATCCTGGTGAGCAGCGATGTGACCCATACCCACAGCGTCTGTGCTGGGTCATCGATCTTTGCAAGGATCTCGCGCTCGTTGGCAAGTAGAGTTGCGAAGCTCTTGGACTTGTCCGTAAAGACACTCCCATCCTCGGCATCTGTCGCTATGGTTTCCCACTGGTTCTGGAGGAAGGCAGCACGGTCCTCCGGCGACATCGCAGCGGCAATGAGGTCGTTGTCCAGGCAATGGGCAGAGACCACACAGTACCGCAGACACAGGCGAACCCGCTCTTTCGGAACACCCAGCGCGTTCAGCTGCATGTGGAGTGAGCGAATGGCATCAAATAGCTCCAGGAAGCCGTTCGTGCAGTTGTACCATCGTTGCACGGAGCTTGAGAGGAAGAAGCCGAGGAGCAGGCCTACAACCACCTCCAAGAAAGTGCTGATGCGTTGGAAGCGGCCCACATTCAGTTTGGCCGGATCACTCACCACGAGGGCAACAGTCGATGCACCACACAATGCGATCAGCAGCAAGATGCCCATCATCTTCCACAAAGATGGCTTCGTCCACACTGTCCCGCTGAAATTCCGAAACACGTCCTGAAGACTGCGCATTTGTGTAAAGAAAAGGCTCGATCTGGGCACACGACTGGTTGACTGACACCCGCAAGCAAGTCACGGTATGTCACGGTCCTAGCTGACTATGGCTGCAGTCAAGCATCAAAGGTCACCAATTTGCGAGCGTCATAGTTCATGGAGTCGAAATTTTCCTGACAGTGCAAGCACTTGACATCACTCGATACAAAGTCCTTCCTGCAGGAATGCTGTGAAATGCAACTACAAGCACAGGCGTAGCATGGCGCAGCAGAAAGGCATGAAGTTCGCAGCCCTTCAACCCAAATCACTGAACCTCCTCTCCATCAGGCTTTTTGGCCAACAGCGGCGTCTCCTCTGACGCCTCCGCCATGCTGCCTTGGGGACAAGCGCTTGGACCCTGTCTCTTCTCAAGGTACCATGCCATGGGATATTTTGTGATTGCAGAGGCCCTGGGCTCTGCACGGGCGTCAACTTCGTTTTGGGCGCGGGCAGACGCCCCATGCGCCCTGGGTGGAAGCTTGAGCCAACAGCGGAGCCACTCACGAGTCTAGCCTGGACCCAAAGTTTTAGTGTTTACCTGCACCCGAAACCCTAAACCCTGAAGCCTACACCCTGAACCGGAAAACCCTTAAGCCCCAAAGGATTTCGGAGAACCTTTCGTTCTCAAAATTCCAGGCAGAGGCTGCCTCCGAATAGCGCCCCTGAGCTACTAGTAATCCTAAATGAGCCATAGTCTAAAACTTCTTAAAGGGAGTTCTCTAGGGGATTATTTAACCCCTGTATTTAGGGTTGAGGGCGATAATATAGAAATGCAAGGTGCTGTTAATTTGCAAGCGCACTGTGCGGAGGACAGCCCAAAGGACCCTCCTTCTATCCTGCACCTAGGTCCAAGTACCCACCATTAGGGACTATGTGTCCTACAATGAGGCTCCTGGAAAGGACCCCCAGAGATTGAATGAATGATGCGGAGGCTCATGCAAGCTGTTTCTGGCACGAATGGGCACTATGTTTAAGCATATATGCTGTGCTGCGGGGTTTAACGTTACTCTGCAAAACTCATCTTGGCCAGTATGCCATGACCAATGCAGCACAACAGTTGGATACAGTTGGACTAAAGCCACACGCACACAGACATGAATGAATGCGCGTTTTCCAGCTCTCCCGGCATTCTTCGCTTTCGTATGCGGCAGCAGTTCCGCCCATTCCTCA